TGAATAACAGTGGCTAACACATTTTTTTTCAAGGCCACTACCCTAAGTAAGATTTGCTTCCCAAGGCCATTACAAAGTACAACACAAAATGCAAGGCACTTACAGCTCAACAAAATTCATGTGTGCTAAAGGCATCTATCCTTGTCCATCACAGAGTTACTTTAAAAAAAGAGAGATACATAGCAGTTTTTGGTGACATCTTTCGTTCTTTGTTATATTGGAAATTCAATACTAGAACTAGTCCTGCTCAATACAATCACAGAAATAGTCATAGAAGTATGTAAATAAGTAAACAAGTAGGAGTGGAAACATGAACTAGGCTCTGCTGCCAAATAAACAAACAAAAAGGCTGCAATTGGAGATTTTCCATTCGTCAAACATGACGCTGAATTGAAGATCTCTAACTTCCCATTAGCTGTGAGGGATAACAAAGAAAAAGCTCTTTTCATGCATCACTGGACAGACCTCAAAAATCATGAATAATACATTTAAAACAATAGAAACACACACAAAAAGTGGTGCTTTTAAACAGTTTTCTTTTTGTGTCTCAATAGGCTATGTTAGAATTAAAGGGATATTAAGCATTACTTGCTGGGTGGTAAGTCTTAGACAACTAAAATCATATTTATTTTATAACATAATGTTTTAAACATGCCAATTCAAACCAGTGAAAGTTGTATATTAATTTTCATGGTCTTGAGAAATTTTCATGTCATCTCCAACCTGTTTAACAATGAACCTTTTTCCACTGTGTTGAAAATTTGTTTGACATAAAATAAGTGGCATAGGCTGTATAAGCATATTCATATCCTACGTTCAGTTGGGCTTAATCCCTAATAAATGTATTTTGGATTTTTGTCTGCACATGTCTGTGTGTTTGGTTTGCTTTGTTAAATCAGATAATAATTGATATAGTTTATTATTGTTGTTATTGTTATTACTAAAGGATGAGTTGGGATATTCTAATGACTAAGGATTTATTTGTGAATTCAGTTAAGATCACATTTGTAACTACGACACATGAAAGACCACTAAATGACACTGTAGAAGAATTACAGTTATCCTTCTTACCTCTTTTCCCAAGCACTACTATTGTTTCAAAAATGACAAAGTGTCCAGAAGAGGGGGGGGAATCCCCCTTTAAACAAAGATCTCTTGTGACTGTTAATGCATGGGAGAATGTGTAACCTGGCCCTGAGGCCTGGCCAAACCAGTATTCCCAGCTCTTTCCCCACTGCCTGTGGCTCAATTATTCTTACTCTTCAGTTCCACTCCCTTTTCCGGCACTTTGTCACCATTATAATTTGACTGCATTCCCCTGCATGGGATCAGCTTTACACAAAACATATAGATTTATTTCACCTAGAAATCTTCTCCTGGTCACATAGACACCAGAGAATCAATTGACAGATATTATTCAATGCATCCTATTTAAAGGAGTTATTTTATTTTATATGACTATTTACATTTTGCCCTTCAACTATATGCTCCATGACCAAGCAATACACAAAAAATACAAATTTATAAAAAGGACATATATACAACAGTTTGGAAAAAGGGCAAGGAAAATATTTTTTAAAAAAATCTCTGCTGGGTATCAAAGTAAGATGATTGTAGAATATCTTATCTAGGGAGACCATTACAGGGTCAGCATACAGTCTCTGAAATGGTTATTTCTATATGTGGCAAGGTAGAAAAGGACCTCCACTTATATTGCTAGGTAGTCCTTTAGTTACCTCTGACCCAAGCCATGAAAGATTTTAAATGTCAATACTGATATATTGAACCAATTCCAGAATTAACTAATGCTATATGCTCAAAGCAAATGTTTCCATTTCAGAGCTTGGCAGTTGTATTTTGATATTTCACCTTCAGAAGAAATGTCTGAACTCCAGTCTAGGTGATATGACAGATGGATAACTGTAACTGGAGAAAAACTATTGGGAGAAAAATAGTGAGTGACATAGTAGTCTATATTAGTATATGTCACATATTCATGGTGGGAATGGCAATACACTACTCTCCAAGAATGCTTGTAAAGTTAAAAGTTAAAACCCATTTAAGGATAAGGCTCAAACAGATAAGCTTTAACTGTAGATGTAAAATAAGTTGTTATAATGATGATCAGCTCCTACAATGTAGCAATCTTTCAAATTAACTATTCTGTATTTTTTTCTCCCCTTACATTTTAACCAACTTTTTCCTGCCATTTCTGAGCCTTACATGTTGAAAATGCTTCAACGTGTAAACTTTCAGCAGCATCTATTATATTGCCATAGCTAACATTATCTCCATCATACATTGGTACCATTAACCCAATAAACAAGTCTATATTTACTTCAGGTTATTAGAATGCTCATTGAGATAAGGCTATACCTGAATATATTATATTGCTTACAATACCCTAAGACATTATGCTAATTCTATGGGAAAGAAGTGGCATTTTCCTTATCTATCATTTATGCTTCATTCTAAAGGGCATATCATTCTAAATGTCATATAATTTTTGATTGCATTGTGCATTTTTAAAAGAAAAATGTAATGGCCATTGTTAAAAACAATGTATTCATTATTTATTCCATTTGTACTCTAATGATTTTGCCAGGACGCTTGGGGTTTTTAATAATAATGTATAATTCTCTGACAATCTATTATAATCAACTCTAATCCCCATTTCAATTAATAAGAATACAACCTGAAATAGATGAAACTGTTTAAGACCTGGCTAAACTAAACCTAGAACATGAAGTTTTAACTACAGTTAAGCATGTAACCATGACATGTTTATGAAGCAAAAAACCATGTGCTTACAGATCACAATGAGTGGATTCATATGTATGCTAATCCAAAATAAAGTACATTACATTATATATTAAATAATAGGTCTACTTGCAACTGGTAATATTAGAATTATCAGATTTCCCAATGTAGTTGCAACATACGTAGAGGGTACCAAATAAGAGGAGATATAAGAAGTAGCAGCAAGAGATGAGAAAATGAACAATTTGTTAAGCTGTTAGAAAATTATGTTTCCAAAAAGCAGATTTTGTAATAGAGTAACAGCAAACTAGATTGCTTTTCTTTGGGCCATGGGATGCAATATAATAAATCAAATTGAAACTATAAATATACGTTTGAAAATGTATATACAGGTAGTCCTCAACTTATGACTGTAATGGAGCCTCCACATTACGATCACAAATGGTAATGGCCATTAAGCAAGATAACCTCACTTAACAACTCCACACTGCATGCTGCACCTGATCCAACTGTTAAGCAAACACATGGATCATTAAGGGGAGCAGGTGGTGCCTCAGGGATAAAGGAGGCTCTAGAAGGCCTAGTGCAGGTCCCGTCCCCATCACAGGGCTTCTCCCACTCCTGAATAATCCCTATGCTCAGATCCTGTGCCGAACTGTTACGGATTAAACCTGGACCTTCTGTATATTCAATCATAAAATTATGGTTCATCCAATACTAATTGCAGTTTCTCTTTAATGCTATTACTGATAAACTTGTTTTATAGTTAATTCATTAGAATGTTAATAGTAGTTTTAGCATCCAGCTACTCCATGAAGCATTTAAATACTACTATTAATCTAATAATGAGCCAATTTGGTGTAGCGATTAAATGTTTGGTTACAGCAGTGAGTTCTAACCCTCCCTCGGGCAATAAGTCAGTTGGGTTACTTTGGGCCAATTGCTCTTGTTCAGCCCTAGAAAGCAGGCAATGGCAAACCACTGGCAGTTTTGTACTGATTGGGGAAAACATTCCATTTTTTCCTCTTTCTAGATTAACATAATTCAGAGGTTTCAGTTTCAAATGTTTCATTGTCAGTGCACAACATATGTACAATGAGATTGGTTACGAAGTGCTGTATCTGTGATTGTCACACCAAAGGTCAGAAAGCACCTCCATTGCTACTACTATACTTGTTGTGTTTATCAATGGACATGTTGAAACAAATGCAGATTTAGAAGTCTCGTTCACTTCACAATTTAAAAACCCTACAAATTCACATAACCCTGCAGGCCTATCGAAACTCACACATTCTAACACAATTAAAAACAAGTTTGAGGCTTCAGAATTAACACAACTGTTGGTTCAAATAGCTTGTGCACACCTTCTAAGGAAGTGCTTTAACTATAAAGAACCAGTTGGGCAGCCCAAAATTATTCTGATTGGAAAAATATATGAACACTGTAGCAGAATTCCTAAAACAAAGTTTTTAGGTTTAAAAAAAAAAAAAAAGCAAACCCCAGCCTCACTCAAAAAATAACTGGGGGGAGTGGAAAATTCCATCCCCATCTTTTTTAGAGGCATGTAAAAACAAGGTATACCCCTCAAAATGAACTGCCACGGTTTATTCCCTGGAGTCGCTCTAAAGCAGTGTTTCTCAACCTTGGAAGCTTGAAGATGGGTGGACTTCAACTCCCAGAATCCCCCAGCCAGCAACGCTGGCTGGGGGATTCTGGGAGTTGAAGTCCACCCATCTTCAAGCTTCCAAGGTTGAGAAACACTACTCTAAAGTGAGCCAACTAAACTTGTCCTGAAATCAGTAAACTCGGATTTGCCTTAACGATGATTCTAACTCGAACTCTGGGCGGGGCAAGTATCCAAAAACTGGTGTGAGAAAAGTCACCAGCAATCTCGTATCCAATATAGTCGGCTAGTATGTTCCAGGAAACGTAAAACGGGAAGTTTCCCTTTTCAGCAACTGAATTCAAAGCTCCTTCGTAGCCAGGACGGGACCCAACCCAACCCGGACCTGAGACCTCCCACCCCTGCACAAAGCAAAGCTTCTAGCCAGGGCTTTAAGCAGCATTTCTCCCTCCTTCCGCCCCGCGACTACGCAGTTTCAAACACAGCCCTCCTCCCTTATCGAGCGGGCGGGCCTTGATTTCAGAGTCCGCTCCTTAGCAACGAGCTAGGCCGCACGCCCTGTTTTTCCCAACCAGCCTTCCCCAGCTTAGACGCTTACAGGTCGGCGCCCAGCGCGCTGAAGCCTGCGTTGAGGCAGAAACGGGCGAGGCGCCTCCACAGCACATCACGGCAAGTGAAACGGAAAAGGCGGCGACAGGTCTGGCCCAGGCGGCCCAAGGCCCTCGCGTCCAGGTACGAGCAGATCAGCAGCAGCAGTTCCTCCGGCAACGCCCACAGCGGAGATCGGAGCTCGGCCAGCGGAGGGCTGCTGGGCCTCCCCATGGAGGGGTGATCTCTCCCAGCCGGGCCCGGCAGCGATAAAATCAACAGCGGGAACGCTGCTGCTGCTGCTTGCCGGGCCCGGGTAGGCCGTCGCTCTTCGGGGCGGCTGTTTCTGCCCGCCTGCCGGAGCGGTCACATGAGTGCGCCCGGCCCTCCAAAGACCGGTCTTCGGTAATGCATTAAACGCCTGAACTGGCTCTGCGTGGAGTTCAGGATAGAAGAAGACAGCCGGATACTCTTTTCTCCCCAGGCCCAGCATATGTTTCTCGTAAGGATAGACTTAATTGGAGGCAGGCCTAGTTCTGCTAAATGAGCTGGTAGGCAATACGTAGTCTAGCATATTGTGAGAACCCAGCCTGGGCGGTTATTTTAATTCATGCACAAGCTCAGAAAACGGGTCGATTATTAATGGCTAAGTATCTTATGCAAAAACTGCTCAGGCTAGGTTTATTATCTCTGCAGGCGTTTTCTGCATATTTTCCTCCCTCAGGATTGTAACGACTTTATACAGACAATAGAAATAGATATGTATCTTCCTGGTTCCTAAACAAGTGGCAGGTATCTGTGTTACTTGAATTGCCAAGTTGTCATTTCAGAAAAGTTATGTCTATATGTATTGAGATAGGACTTGAAAGCAAATTGACAATTGTTCTATGGACAGTATCCTTGAACACTAAAACTCCAAACTAAACTTTTCTTGTTAGGGAACATCACAACATCACAACTACTAAAAATCCAGGTCCTTGGAACTGCCATATTTGAAAAAAGTTCTGCAAAATGAAGGACTTCTATCCAGTTACTTTTAATTAGTATTACACTTCTTATAAAAATAATATAGCCTTATTGCAATACTTAACCAAACAATCATGTAGAAAAGATGCTCTTATGATCCCAGACATTTTATGGAACTATAAAATGCAAGTACTATATCTTCATTTGTCCTGTATCCTGATATTACACAATCATAAGAAATAACTTTTTAAAAGCACAAGGATATTTACTTTTTACAGAGGATAGAAAATTTAGTGTATATATTGATCTAAATTTGAGGAATAATATCACAAATATTCTGATGGAATTATTATTCTCCCCTTTTAACCAGCGTTTCAGGTGAGGTATTAAAGAATCACCCTACATGCAGTTTAGGTTCTGTACATATGCATAACTACCTTACAAACTTAGCCTATTTATTTTGAATTGTCATGAAGGGAAACATTAGAGACTGCACAGAATTTTTTTTGTGTGTGTGTGTGTGTGTGTTTCCAGATACGTCTCCTCATAAAGAGCAGTAAGTATTATTATACATTAAGAAGAATCAGATGTTCACACAACATCTCAGAAACATCTGTCCATCATAGAGATACTTTATTATTACAGTCCAGCACACTTTCAGGAACAATGTAAATAAATGTATGTTTAAGTATAGTCATTTAATTTTCCTTTTGTCCTCAGACACTCCATATTTACCATCTCCAGAATATCTAAAAATATAACTAACTGCTGTTTGCCCAGTATCTGCAAGTTTTTCATTTCTTTTCATGAACACTGGAGAGGGCAAGCAAATGAATGAAAAATACAGGTATTTAATAAAATGTGTATCATCATCAAAACAGTTGGATATCTGAATAGATGCTATTTTAATGTTGCCAAAATCCCCGTAGTATAGAAGAAATACATTGATAATGACAGTTAATATGGGCTACAGATTTTACTATCAATACAGTGATTTTTTTTTCCAAGTATAAAGGGAAGGGATGCAGTTATGTCCATATCAAGGGTCCCCAAACTATGGTCCACAGATCGCATATGGTCCGCCAAAGCCATTAATCCGGCCCATGCAGGACCACAAGGCTGCCCTGCCCACATTGCCCGGCCGGCCCCCACTCTTTGGCCAAGCATAGGACTCACCTTCGCGAGCCCCATGGGCTGGAACTGGAAGGTAAGGCCAACAACATTCTGGAGGTGGGGGAGGTGAAAAATGGGGCACACAGACACCCCGGGTGGTCAAAAAATAGGCCATTTTAGCCTGTTTTTGACCAAAAAACGAGCCGTTTTAGCCCGTTTTTGGCCTGCAGAATGCTTCTGGACGTGGGTAAAAAACAGGGGCATTTTTCACCTCCCCTGCCTCCAGAAAATAGAGAGAGAAAAAGAGAGAGAGAAGAGACACAGAGAGAGAGAGACTTGTTGATTGTAAGCTCCTTGGGGCTGAGAAAAATTGCTGCAAAACTGAGTTTCCTGAAGTGGACCACTAGACTCCTAAACAACTGAAAAAATGATCTAGTAAAAAGAAAAGTTAACCAAAAGAGCAACGTGAAAACGAAAGCAAAAAAAACAACCAGGAGGAAAACAAAGTTTAATTTGTGTGCATTGTTTAATGAACTCTTAAATTGGCCACACCCATCTAGTCACATGACCTAGCCACACCCACCCAGCCGCTCCAACCCCCCCCCCCAGTCTGAGGGACAGTGAATTGGCCCCCTGTTTAAAAAGTTTGAGGACCCCTGGTCCATACTATCACAGAATCTAGTGATAATTAGAATCAGGGATCTTCTTGTATTGAATAGTAATCCTGTAAATAAATACGGGAGACAGATTACCTCTTTATAGAGAGGAGCTGAAAGTTGAAAAGTTGTTAGTTTGAAACAGATACACAATTCTTAACAATTGTAACTCTTGAATGAAAGAAATGAACAGTGATAAACTCTATTTCATAAAGTTTTCACAAATATGGAAATATTTTCATTAAATAGCATTATTTGCTCTTACTTTTGCAAACTAGAGTATCTCTTTATTACAGTCCAAGGCCAGTTTTCATGCATTTTTACATAGTTGTGATATATTTATTATATACATTATTATAAAATATTGCATAACAAAAGTTCATTTAAAATACATCAAGACCTTCCGTGAGACTGAATACGTTTACCCTCTTATAAATGATATTGGAGTGCTTATCCATTAAAAGATTGGAGTGCTTATCCATTAAAAGAAGTCAAATATATTAATTTTCTAAGTACCTAAGATGATATAGTAATAATAGTAGTAGTTACATTAGGTTCTTTAAGAAAAAACTCTAAAATTTGGGTAGAGACGGGTTCTTAAAATAATTGGTTGACTGAGCTTTTGTCTCCATATTTGATACTCAAAAAAAAAAAAAAAACCCTACATTGATTTGCAGTTCCATGCCTTTGATGCACTCTACAAGTAACTCTCGTAGACATAGATAACTGATGCTCTGGTCCAAGTTTTGATACTGGTTATACACTGCAGTGCCAAACCAGTTACATCATAGTTATCATAAAGTAAAGCCAAAAATCATGTTAGAATTCAAGTCTAAAAGCAAGTAATTGTGTGGAAGCTTACAACTAATTAATTAACTTTGTTTTTATTTCCAAATGTGAAAAACATGTTTCCATATAATAAATAACGTGAATCACAAAAGCCATCAAATTTTGCAAATTTGCATCATGTCTATCCTACACTGTAATCAGCAAAAAGTCATGGTCACGCACTATAGCTACTTGAAATACATTTAGTCTCCTGTGGTTGCAGGCTTCCTTTTTTTTCATGATATTGAGCCATTATTTAAGTGTTTTCTTAGATTAATAAACTTGCCTTTTTCTTTCACTTGACTACAGCATTAATTCCGTTTTATCTGCAAAATTAAAGACAAGCATGCAGAGCCTAATAGAGCACTGAGCATTTGTGGGGCTTCTGTCATTATGGACAGTAATTTCCATGGAACTTTCAAATTAAATAAAATGCCTTTCACAGAAGCAGGCTATTCTTGCACACCAGCAGAATCAGACTGTTAGAAAAACAATTTGATTATATTTACAGATTGGTTACATAATTTTGTTTCTTCACTACTACGAGAAGGTAAAATTTTGGAGATCAGGTAAGATACAGAGGAAACTGATTAAAAGGAAGCTGGGGGGTGGGGGTGGGAATTAGCAAGGCCCAATTTCCTTGAAGTACATGGAACCTGTTTAAAGCAACAACTTTGAAAGCCCAGACAATGCATACCTCAGTGCAGAAAAGAAAAAATAAATGAGGAGGACCATACAGCTGACAAATTCAGTCAAGAAAGGTGTAAGGCACATCATCATCATCATTATTTAAATTTATATGCTGCCCATCTCATGGTTTGAGGTGACTGAATGGCTTACAATGTAAAGAACTGAAAGTTGATTGCAGGTTCATTGTAGCATTCAATCCAAAAGTAAGAGATTCTGTATTGAATCAGTTAAGTATCTTTGTTGGCACTTGTTTTTTCATATTTAATCTTAATCCATTTTTCACTATTCTCCTTGCTTGCATATCATTTGCATTTTCAGCTATTAAAAGTATAGCTTAGGTTATTGATTATGCTTCCTCAAATTTTAAAACAATGCTCATCTTTCAGTCTAGTTTTCCTCTATATATATTCTGTATAAATGTTGAATAGATAGGGAGCATTTACAATTTTGTTTCAGTTCTTTACTAAACCATATACAGTTTGTTTCATCATGTTTAATCTAGACAGGATTCCTAACCTGTGTGTAGTTTTTGCATGAGGACAATGAGATATTCTGGAATTCCCATTTTTCTAAATACATTCCACAGCTTGACATCAATACAATTGAAGGCCTTTTTATAAGCAAATACTGACTTCTTTGGAATTCTTTTAGCTTTTTCAATTCATTCTTCATTGAATTGCATTCATCAGCAATAAAGTCTCTTGTTTTTCAGCCTTTCCCAAAGCCATCTAGTATCTCTGTCAGATGATCCTAAGCATTATTTTGCTCGCATGTGGAATTAAGGATGTTATATGACAGTCTGCATATCCTGTTAACAACTCCTTTATTTGGTAATAGTATGCAGATCAACCTCTTCCACTCTGTTAACCATTGTGTCATTCTCCAGATTTA